TCGGAAGAGTCCATGCAGCAGAAAAGGGATGCAAACAACTAGAGAAGCAGTTTAATTGTGTCTGTGAAGGTTAAAGAGAGCCCACGTGCCTGAGTGAGCTTCTGTGCAGCGTGTAAGCCTGAAGGCTCTCCTATTGGTCGGGGTGTTAATACTTCTTAATGTATTTGTTATCACCATTGACTAGAAGGGGCTTGCAAACACGGGGCAGGGCTCCCCTTCTCCCTGTGGCCTGTGTGAGGCAACGCACAGCCAGAAAAAGTGCACCTCCTCAGAATGAGGAGGAGGAGGAAGGTGGAAAAGAAGTTTCTTTGCGCCTCACTGACGGAGGCAGCAATCGTAATGGTGGTGATGGCATTATGCATGCTGAGACCTACAATCCACGGCCGCTGAGCCGATGCCGACTCATAGCGACCCTGAGGGGTGGAGCAGAACTACCCCAAGCAGGCTATAAATCGTCACAAAAGTCTAGTGCTTCCCCTTTCTCCCAGGGAGCAGCGGGGGCTTCCAACAGCCTGCCTTTCAGGTGAGCAGTCCGATGCTTAATCGACTGTGCCACCACCGGCCCTTTCAGTCTGAGAAGCCTTAAAAGTTCATGGGAAAATAGAAAGATAATGGAATATTCCATGAACTTTTGGAAGTCCCTTCCTATGTATCTCACTCACTGCCACTGAGTCGATGCCGGCTCACAGTGACCCTCTAAGGACAGGGCAGACCTGCCCCTGTGGCTCTCTGAGACCGTAACTCTGCACGGGAGCAGAAAGCTCCGTCTTTCTCCCGGGGAGCAGCTGGTGGTTTCAAACTGCTGACCTTGTTTGTGGTTAGCAGCCCCACACTTAACCATAAAGGATCCAATGCTCTTTTGTATGCATAAACATATATATGTGCATACATACTTTATTATATTAACTAATTATTGATAGTTAAATCCTTGGTGCGAAATCAAGTCTAATACAGATAGATAGGTAGAAGTTCATATCAAACCTGTTGACATCAAGTCTATTCCGACTCATATTGATCCTGAAGGACAGCCTAGAGCGGCCTCACCAGGATCCCCAGGCTGTCAGTCTTGGCAGCAGCACCTGCCCTAGCTTTTTCCCAAGGAACAGGTGGTGGGTCCCAACTCCTAGCCTTTCTGTTAGCACCAAGTACTTAACCACTGTGCCACTAGAGCCTGTTACAAGGAGATAGATAGATAGATAGATAGATGATAGATAGATAGATAGATAGATAGATAGATAGATAGATAGATAGATAGATAGATAGATAGATGTAGATGTATGATTCTGTGAGTTTGAAGGATTTTGTTGTTGCTACAAAGTTTGAAGTTCAAAAGAAAGAGACAACTATCCAGGTATCATTGACATAGGCTATCAGAAGCTGCGTACTTCAGACAAGATCTCAGGTAACCCTCATCTCATAGATTCCGTGGGTATAAGCACATTAAAAGGAAATAGCAGGTGGATTAGCCTGTACTATTTACACTTTATTTTCTCCCCTCCTATCTACCCACTCTTCTTTGCCAAGATAAATAGATGGATTTGAGCAAATGATGTGACTTCATTTATTGCAAGTCCCGTGTCCAACAGTACAGCATCCACTTCCATGGCCCTACCTACCTCAGGTGGCACACAAGGCTAACTCCAAGATGGGGGTCCAGCTCATGTACCCACACTCTGCCTGGGCGATGCTTTGCACATGGGCTCTCTGCTCAACCAAGCCCCCTCTCCGCTCCTAGGGAGCCAGACATCATCCCTTTTCCACCAGGTCAAAGCGGAATGCATGCTTCATCAGCTTCTCGTGAATCAGGGTAGAGCGGTGCTCCTGTTACTATCACCTCTGGCCGACGACTGTCACACCCTGCCCTTCGGGAAAAGTCATTTCAGGGTGGACATGACTTCATCTGCCGCATGGTCAACCAACTACTTCCTGGGAACCAACCCCACACTCAACTACTTCCACTGGCCCTCGCACCAAGCAGTATGGTTAGCAACAGGCCTTCAGTTCACGGTCCATGATGGACAGGCTGGAAGTCAGAGGAAGTGGGAGTCTAGGGTTCCAGGAAGAGCTTGTCAGCTTCCACTCCCTGCATCAGGGGAGCAAAACCAGGGGTTGGGCAAGGTCACTGCCTTTGTGTGTGACCTCCACATTGCTACAATTTCAGGAGGCAGACAACTGGAAAGGAATGAGCATTTTAAAAACAGACCATGAGAGCAGGAATTGTGGCATTTTTTCTTTTCCCTCTGTATTCGAAGGCCTATCACAGAGCATGGCACACAGTAGAGGCTCAATTAATACAAGGGAGTTTCAAAAAACTCATGCGAAATGGAATTGAAAGATGATGAAATTGCCCGACAGACAGTGTGAAGCGCCCTGACATATGCTAACAGAGTGACTTGAATGAACAAAGCAGGAGCCGAGGAGTGCTTTCTCGGTGTGTTCCTGCTTGTCTCGGTGCCACCGGAGCCTGGTCTCAAAAGGACCAGCAGATCACGCCTGCATCCTCAAGTGCCACACGTCCCCTTTCTGGCTCTCAATGCGTTTATCGCATCGCTTAGGTGAGTCAGCACATATAAAGAAAAGCCCCACAGCAACACCAGCCACTGTGGGGCCAGCGCTATGATTTACAGAAGCTCCAGGCTGGTCTGAGTGACAGGACCTGGAGCCGTCCTTCATGTCCCAAAGGGGGGGTGACTGAACTCATCAACCTCATGCCCCTTCCTTCCTACCTATTGCCCAGCCTCCTCTGGACTGGGGAGAATCCCAGAGTGTCCTCAAGATGCTCTGGGTCACGCTGACCCCGGGGTGGCTGGCCGTAAGCTGGTCCTTTGGGACTTCTTCGCTGTCTGTAGGGCTTTAGCACAGCAGGAGCATTTTTTTCTTCTTCTGCGGAGCTTTTCTGCCCTGCCCTGCATGTCCTACATGGGATGGACCCAGGGCAATCCCAGACATTTCCCAAGCACCTTCTTAGACTAGCCTTACGAAGTGCTTGCTCTTTGGGGATTATAATATGGTTAAGTCTCTCCTGAGCTATACTATGTTATTTCCCTCAAGAGGAGCGCTTCTAGAACAGCGGTGGTCAGCCTGTGGGTCGCGGGGTCGAACGACTCTTTCACAGGGGTCGTCTGAATCATAACAGTAGCAAAATTATAGTTGTGCAGTAGCAACGAAAATAATGTTATGGTTGGGGGTTGGGGGTGTCACCAAAACATGAGGAACTGTATTAAAGGGTTGCACCATTAGGAAGGCTGAGAACCACTGTTCTAGAACATATTGTGTGTAAGCCACCAAGTAGCCTTCCAAAAGGTGGAATCAGGTTTAAGATATCATCAAAGAGGAGAACTGAAGGAAAAGACAGGGCACATCAGGGTAAAGGCATGCAACGAGGGTGTGTATCAGAAGGGTGATCATTGCAGAGGCATTTATCTGCCTGGAGGACATCTGGAAGAGTGCACGCGAGTTCTTTGTGTGCACCCACTGCCATAGTCCACCTGCCCAAATTACACTGCCCACCCCTGGCTCCATCTGCATCCGCCTACATACCTCCCGATCTCAAATTAGAACATAGACTCTCTACCCTCCTGGATAACTTATTAATTTCAGACCAGAGGAGGAGGAAGAGACTTTGGTGATCACCCTAATCCCTGTCCTTATGCAGGAATCCCCTAGCCTCCCTGACATTAGACAGCCTTGCTTTGTGCACCAGCTCGGCATGCTGAACACGCTCAACTGTGAATCACCATGGGCACGTGAGGAGAGTACAGCTCACCAACTATGCAAAATCACACAAAAATCAAACTTTACGGAGAAGGGGCCTGGTGAGGCTTACAGTTAAGCATGCTTTTATACATTTCATGCCAGAGTTCATGAGAGTGGTTATATATTAGAATCAGCTTTAAGAAGGCTTTCAGAGTAAAGCTTTAAGAAATATCAGTGGCCAGCCCTTGCCCCTACGTACCCACTGCTAAAGAGTTTATTACAACTAATCATGACCTCATATGGGGTTGCTGAGGCTGTCGAGCTTTATTAAAACAGATGGTCTCATCTTTCTTCAGCGGAGCAGCTGGTGGGTTACCATGAAGCATAAGGTTAGCATTCGAACACTTACCCAAGAGCACCACCAGGGCTCCTTCCCAGCGCTCTATAGTCTAACTCACTGCCTACGAGGCGATTCTGGTTCACAGTGACCCTACGGGATGAAAAACAACTGTCCTAGGGGGGTGCTGGGATGAACTCTTTACAGAAGTAGAAAGCCTCATTTTTCTCCCACAAAGAGGCTGCTGGTTTCACACTACTGACCTTTCACTTAGCAGCCCAACATATAACCACTATGCCACCACTAACATAGTCATAGTTCATTGATCTGGGCCTAAGCAATGTGATTTTTTTTTCAAGCTTCCAGCTGATTCTCACGTGCAGAGAGATCTGAGAGTCATTGTAACATCTCCCCAACCCAGTGGTTAGCATTTTGAGGACCCTCATCACCGAGCATGGCCATCGGGTCCATTCTGACTCACAGAAACCCTATTATTTTGAAGACCAAACCAAAACCAAACTCATGGCCATAGAGTTGGACAGCAACCAAGAAATGTGCATCTCTTGGCACCCTTCCCTGTATCCTACCACGTCAAACCTGTAGCAGACCACACTACATAACTGCTAAATGGATCTGATTTAACTCGTGTGTGCCCCTATCCAATGTGGGATGCCATTTGCTAATTGTATTAAGAAGCTGTGTACTTCCACTTAGCAAGAAACCAGACGGCGGTGAGACAGAAACTGCTCAGATTTCCCCGGGTTGAGTCTACACCCCCACGCACTCAGAGCCAATGCTGACATGCAGCCAGTAGGTGCAGATTAGCTGAGCCACTGTTTACAGCAAGCATTCGTTCTTGAGAGAGCCTATCTCCAACACATCATTGCCTCCTTTTCATTATTAACCCCGGCACATCCCTTTCCTCCTCCAGACTAGCCAAACACGGCCCCTCTGCAGCTCCACTCACATTGTACAGCACGGTGGTCCACCCTTCCATGGTGATGCACTGGAATACAGTCAGCACAGCAAAAAGGATGTTGTCAAACTGCGTGATCCCATCGTTGGGGCCGATCCAGTCCTTGCATTCATAGCCAGCTGGGCAGCCCTGCACACCACATGGGTGAGGGGGGTCAAATCCTTCTAGAATACCTGGAGGGTGGGGAACAAGTCAAATGGTATTTAGCATGAGCTACGAATGACCCTAGGGTGCCACATACCAGCAGTTCTATTTCCTATAGAAAACGGGTTGCCCTTCTGGTTCTCTGGCCTCTCTGTTCTTCACGGTCCACAGAGGCTGTGTTCCAATCAGTGTTTCCCAATCTCTTATGAAAAAGAAGCCTCTTCTCCACATGTCCTCCCAATTTCTGCAGGTCACCCCTCTGCCTTCCTTGGCAGTCCCACAGCCATGGAGAGGACTGGCTCATGCCAAAGAATCTGTGGGGAAGGCAGAGCCTTCTGATTTCCTAACTCCAGCCTTTCTGGTTTCCTCTGAGACAGTCATTTATCAACTAGAGGCACTTTCTCAAAACCCAATGCACTGCCATTGAATCGAGTATGTCTCATAGGGACCCAACAGGACACAGGAGAGCTGCCCCCTGTGGTTTCTGAGACTAACTATTTGCAGGAGTGAAAAGCCTCATCTTTCTCCCGCTGAGTGGTGGTGGTTTCAAACTGCTGACCTTGCTGTTAGTACCCACGATGTCACCTGGGATGCTCAGTGTAGGTCAGCAGTTTAACACTACCAGTTGCGCTGCAGGAGAAAGACGAGGCTTTCTGTCCCCGTACAGAGCTGCAGCCTCAGCTCCCCCAAGGGGCGATTCTCCTCTGCTCTCCGGGGCCATGACGAGTTGGAATCACCTGGACGGCAGAGCCCCTCAGCAGGCACGAACTCGCTGCTTTCCCAGCTCTCCCTACTTCTGGTCTTGAACAAAAATGAAACACAAAACTCTGCGGTAGAATGCGTCCTTTGACGATTCCTTTCCCCAGAAAAAATGTACGGTTCGTCTGATGGGGATGATTCCACCAGTAGTGTCCTAGCGACACTACTCAACGCAACAAGAACGAGTGAGATACACAGAACGAGTGTCTGTGCCCCACCAGGAGCCAGGCCCAAGGCGCCCTCCTTCTTACACGTGCACACTCACAACATCGGGAGATGGAGCGCGCACGCATGTGTGTTGCGGGGGTGGGGGTGGGGGTCCTTCATAGTTCTGGCGTGATTTAAATCTGCTTTCCCTCCAGGGCCCTAGATCCCTGTGTCTCATTGGCCTGTGGGGAAAAACAGCCATTGTCAACAGGTGATTGCTTCAGACAGGTGAAATACTCCTTTTAGGTGCCTTCTGAGAGAATTCTACCATTGGATGAGAGCATTCAGAGCCTCTATTTGAAATCCTCCAAATGCAACCCTGAAGCGAGTATTTGCTTTGCCCTATCAGGGTCAAATAGGGAACTTTCAAGACTGACCGTGCCTCTAAGGGCTATTGACCATAGGTCCCTCAAACTTCTGATTCTAATCCCTGCCTTGAGATAGAACATACTTATCCAAGCAGCCTCAGGATGTCCCCTAATCTCACTCCCCACCCCCTACCCCACCAAGGGCCAGAGGGCAGAGGCCGGGAGGAAGGCGAAGAGGGGCAAAGTGACCGCACCTGAATTGTTCATGAAGCACGCTCGGTGCAGCTTCCCACTGTAGAACTCCAAGCCGATGATGGCGAACATCAGAATGGCAAAGAAGAGCAGAAGGCCGATCTGCAGCAGAGGCACCATGGCCTTCATGATGGACTTCAGAACAATCTGCAGGCCTGGAGGAAAGAAAGAGCGACACATGGGCTCCACTCGTGGGCAGCCAGGCCCCACTGACCCTGTCCTAGCAGGAGAAGAGCACACCTGTGTCCTGAGATGACAATGACAAGGCCCACAAAGATAAGCAGGGCAAGTCAAGCCAAATGCTCCCATCGTCCTCTCCTCCACCTCACCATCCCCGATGATTCACGTGCCCTGAGCCCTTCCCCTCCTTTGTTCCATCGACATTTTGGGTTGCGCACTGCCAGGGGAAGGGCACCGAGTACAACCACTGCCAATTAAATGCTATGATCTTTTGACCCAGAAATTGCATTTCTAGGATCAGGCCTAAACAAATCATCAGATATTCGAATGAAGAATTAAATGAACAGATGCTTTCTACAGTCCTGCAAATAGTTTCAAAAGCAATTAAAATAACCTAAATACCAAGCAACGTACATGTAGCCAAGTAAACCATGACGCATATTAAAACAGACAATGATGCTTATTTTTAAAAGCATATTTTTGAAGTGCTTTTTATGTCAGGAAAATAAAATACTTATGGCAGGATCCGAAATTATATGTATGATATGCTATGACTCCCATTATATGAGGGTGTCCAAGGAAAAGCACAAATGAAAAGAATACAAAAAATGTTTATCAAAGTTACTTCAGAATGATAGCATAGTACATGCTTTTCCCTTTTCTTTTATTCGTTCTAATACTTTCCCAATTTTTTCTTAAAGTTTCCATTATTTTTTTAATCTGAAAGGTTTCTTTTAAGCTCTTAAATTGAAATATGAAATGTCTTATCAGACTCTTGAATCCCCACTGTTTGTAACAACTGGGGTGTCCTTCCAGGAGTTAATGCCTTCTTGTATGTCCCCAATTCCCCTTGACCCGGTCCAGGTGGGGGACCGCAGGGCGGGGTGAGCAGCGCAGAGAGTGGGCGGGCAGGTGCTCACTAGGGATCCCTGACACGAGCTTCAGCGGCCTCAGCACGCGCACAGCCCTCAGGGTCCTCAGGTCCACGTGTGTGTTGAAGTGGGTCCCCGCTGTGGCCAGGATGCTGCAGGAGGAGAAGCACAAGGGCAAGGTTACGACGGCTGGCATTCCCCCTGTGCCCACACACGGGGAAGCTGGGTTGGGGCAGGAGCCGCCTGGAAAGCACACGCAGAGCTGACGCCAGCTGCATGTGGGCGCACCTGAGCGTGGGTGAATCACCAGTGGATCTCAGCGGAATTAAATTTAGCCTGCTGGGTTTCACTTGGCGAGAACAGGAGAACGAATCACCCGTCTGGAATCACAAACCCACATCGTGAGCAAACACAGGTCTCCAGCATCTGTCCCGCTCCGACCTTCTTCCCTACTCTGCCCCTGACCCTCGCCAACTTCCTTTCCCTTTTCCAACCTACCAAGATCCTCACTATTTTTATTTAAAAACTACTTTTTTAATCAGCCTCCTGTCTCCTTCAGGAAGTTTTTGTGGATTGATTCCAGCAAAAGAGTAGTGAAGAATTCTCTTCTTCACACCTTGAAACTAAGAATTTTTACCAAGCAAATTTTTACCAAGAATTTTTACCAAGAAGCCACCCGCCACTTGCTGGAGAAAGCCAAGGCTTTCTACTTCCTCAAACTGCACTGGTCGCCAAAGGCACTGATTGACATAGATTGAGCATCTTTGCTTTCCTTGCTTCCATCTGAACTCAGAAACAAGCACACACAAGAATAAATCCATATGATTCCTATTAGATGGTAGACACCAGCATTTAAGTATTCAGGAAAGGCACAGAGTCGGAAGAGCTGGGCTTAACTCTTAACTGATTCACTTGAGAACTGGGTGACTTAAGGAAAGTGATTCAATCTCTAGGAGCTTCACGTTCCTTCATCTACAAAATTGGGGAGTATCTCGGCCTGAATATCCAAATGAAATCGTATGGTATTGAAAGTCATGAGTGTTCTATAAACGATGATAGCCAAACAGACACTTGTCCCACGCAAATATTAGTAATAATTGGTTGGGCTACATTGTTCTCCTCTCTATAGGAACTTTTCTTTGTCTCTCTCCTAACCTCCACGGGACAATATTGGCAATCTGGAACCACAGGAGAATGAGTTATTCAGAAAAAAGGAGTTTTCTATGCAGTTGAAGGGTGGCAAGAATAATCTGTTGTTTAATTATATTTAGTGAACACCTGCTAAGGACTTAAAATATGTATGAAAGAAGACACCCAAAGTCCCTTCAACCATGACGTGCTGTCAGTATTTGAAAGAAAAGTACAGGCTGTGAGGCTCTTGGAAGCAGAGGTCCAAGTAACAGATCCAGGAAAATACAATCATACACAATCACTCTGAAATAAGCCTCACTGGCCAACAACACAGTGAATGGCATTGGGAGCTAGTAAACTATTCAACTTTCAACCTATTAAGTATAGACAGTTGAACTGTTTACTTAGAAGTACAGACGGTTCCTACACTCAGTTGAAGGCTGATTTAGATGACCAGTAGAGCTGTTTTTCAACTTTGTGGTTGTTGTCAATTGCCGTCAACATAGCCATTTCCTGGCAACCCCACGTGTAACAGAAAGAAACACTTCTGGTCCTAAGCCATCTCCAGGCCCACTTTTGCGGCTACTGTGTGTTTTGAGGGCCTTCTAAACGAGAGGGCTCATCCCCTCACACTGTATCAGCCAACCCGCCGCTGCTACAGGCTTGTCACTGGCTAGCTGTCAGAAGTTGGGTACCAATTCTTTCTTCCTGTCTTAGTCTGGAAGCTCCACTGACCACGGATGACTGCTGGTATTTGAAATAGTAGGGGTATAGCTCCAAGCATCGCAGCAACACAGTTTAGCAAACACTCAAACTCACTGTCAATAAGTCGACACTGACTCATAGTGACCTTGCAGGACAAAGTAGAACTGCCGGTTTGAGTTTCCAGGACTGTAACTCTTTATGGGGGAAGGCCCCGTCTCCTTCCCAAGGAGTGGCTGGTGGGTTCAAACTGCTGGCCTTACAGTTAGCAGCCTAGCGTGTAAGGTAGGACACCACCAAGGTTCTCAAACTCTACATTAGGTAGGTGTCAAAACGCTGCTAAGAACCAGAAAGAAAGCAAACTGTCACAAGGGATTATCGTATGTAAGTATCTACACCCTCGTGGCACAGTGGGTTACACCCGGGGCTGTGATTAAGCACAGCATCAGCAGATTGAAGCCACCCGCCACTTGCTGGAGAAAGCCAAGGCTTTCTATTTCCTTAAAGAATTATAGTCACTTCCTGCAGTACATCCCTGAGCAGAAGCCACATGGACCTACCCCGATGCAGCCCTGGGTGCTGAAGCAGCCGTGTGGAGACCCCTGCCAGCACTGAGATGCTTACACATTCACTGACTCGGCTTTCCTCCTGCAGTCGGCATCATTACGTGTGCTTTGTGAGATGGAGGAGGACTTTGTGGATTGGTGTCGTCCATATGGGTTAATGTTGGACGTGTGGGCTTGGACAGCACTGGGTAGGGATGTTTTCTTGATGTGCACTTACCCTTTATATAAAACTCCCTCATTCATGAAAAAAAAAAAAAGAGAGAGAATTATAGTCTCGGAAACCCACAAGGACAGTCCTACTCCATCCTAGTGAATTTTGCCTCCATTTCCCCGGACTAAACTTCCACACCTTCACGTAAACAGGAAGGCTTAGGGAAAATCGAAGCGTAGCGAACGCAAGGAGAAAGGGAAATGAGGACCGGATATTTGACGGGAATAGGAACCACTAGGCAGCACGGAGAGAGAGCAATTTGAAGGGTGGGCGCATTGATCGGGTGGCTGTTGCACTAGTTCTGCTAGCAGAGGCAGCTTGCCCTCTGCCTAATGGTGAGACCCCCTTCTCTCAGCTCATGCTCCCTCACCGACACGGGGGCAGCCCTCTGGGCGGCTCTGTTTCCTAGAACACCCAGATCCACGGGAGATGCTCTTACATATCATTAAAGGACTTTGAGAAAGCAAGGTTTTACAAAGACGCTTTCCTCCCCACCTGGAGAGGCAAGGGCAGAGGGACCAAAGGCAAAGGCCAGAAGGCACAACTGCAGCAGCGAGAAGAGATGGTGGAGGGGAGAGAGAACGAAAATGCAGAGAGGAAAACAAGAAGAGAGGAAAGCTGGCGAAGGAGCGGCTGTCCGATAAAGAAGGGTGTTCCCACGGGGAAGAGAACAAAAGCAAATCCAGGAAGGTCAGCATGGAGTGACCCAGGCAAAGGAAGACCTGGAGGAACACAGGCGTTGAAGGCAACAAAGGTAATTCATAGGCACAACCCTACAATATTGGCCACAAAAACCGCCTTCCAGTGATGCATCAACGTGCAAGCTGAACAGGGGTGGCCAGGCAAGTGAAGTCGTAGTCACAAATGTGCTGAGGTTCAATGAAGACATTTTCCACATGTGTATGTGTATGTGCTGCAAATATATCAATCAGTATAACAGACACGCCCCCCCCCCAACTCCCTGCCGTCTAGTCCATTCCGACTCACAATGACCCCACAGAGCCGGGCAGAACTGCCCTGTGGGTTTCTGAGGCTGTGACTCTTCATGGGAGGAGAGAGCCTCGTCTTTCTCCCACGGAGGGGCTGGTGGTTTCAAACTGGCTGGCTGTTCAACATGTAATCGCTCCGGGACCGGGGCCAACTTCTGGTACCTTCTTAGACATAACGCGCACCTTGAGGGCATGAGTCACTATGCCCACCTTTCCTCCAGTAAGGGGGCTCTCCACTGAACCGTTTGCCCTAGGCTTCCCAATTCCTACTGAATTAATCCCTGAGGGGGTGGTACTTCTAATCCAGCGATGGTATCCACCTGTTAGAATCAGTGGCAATGGAATTCTTAAGAGAAAAATTGCAGAAGAAAGGCACTTTGTACTCCCATAAAAATATTTTACCACCTCCATCACTGTCTTTACCACATCCCAGAGAAATGTTCACCTGTTTGGGGGCAAAGAAATTAGGCAAAGCTCAGTATCATCAGACAGAAGAAGGTCAGGGGCGGATTGTGAACAATCAATTATACCTATGCAAGTTCAAGGTGATGCTGAAGAAAACTAAAATGGTCCACTGGAGCCAAAGTAAAACCCTGAGTACCCCAGCTGAATTGACAGACCACCTCGAGGACAGTTTTGGGAAGACATCAACGACACCATTCATGAAGAAAGCAGAAGGTCGTTCGAAAGACAGGAAAGCAAGAAAAGACCGAATGAATGCCAGAAGAGACTCTGAACTTGCTCTTGAATACAGAGTAGCTAAGGCAAAGGGAAGAAATGATGAGGTAAAGGAATAGAACAGAAAATTTCAAAGGGCAGCTTTGAAAGAAGCTACAAGAAGACAAAGAAAAGTATTACAATAAATGTGCAAAGACCTGAAGTTAGAACATTAAATGGAAAAAACACATTCAGCATTTCTCAGCCTGGAAGAATTGGGGGAAAAAATGCAGGCCTCAAGTTAGAAAGTGGAAGGATTCTATAGGCCAAATATTGAGTTATGCAAGAAGCACAAAAGGCAAATGTAAAGAACACAGCCTCGCTGTACCAAAAAAGAAATGTCAAACCATTTCAAGAGGTTCATGTGAGCTGATGGTATGGAAAAAAGAAGTTCAAGCTGCACTGAAAACACCGGTTTTAAAACACCCCAAAAACCAGGCTCTAAGAACTCAGGGAATACCAGCTAAGCATTTTAACCAACAGCTGCAATGCTGGAAGCACTCAGTCTTCTGTGCAAGGAATTTGGATGACAGCTAACTGTCTAAGAGGTTGGACAGAGATCCATATCTGTGCTCATTCCAAAGGAAAGTATGGCTTACACCGCAACATAAGAAAACAAAAATTCTCACAACTGGACCAACAAGCATCACCAAGATAAAGAGAGTGAAGACTGACGTTATCAGGAATTTCATTTTATGAGGATCGACAGTCTACACCCACGAGGCAGTGGTCAAGAAGCCAATTTATTGCATTGTGCCACTCCGCCACGGCAGACCTCCTTTACAGGGTCAAGACGCAGAGATGTCACTGTGAGGATTAAAGCTGTCTGACCCAAG